AAAATATGGTATACAATATCCTGTGGTGTTGCCAGTAGTAATTCTATTACTGCTATGATAGAGAAATATTGACTTATTACTTATAACATTATTTTTTGTCTATTATTTACTCTAAGTTTCATATTACACTTTATGTTACCATGATCACATGATGTTATAATTGTTTTATTTATCTATTTGCATAACAAAGTCTAAATAAAACATATTTTCTGTTCTATATAATTTACAGAAAATTCAGTTTGTTAAATTGTTTATGAATAAAATATTTGTTTCTGTTTTTCATTTGTTTACTTGTGAATACCACAACAAGTGAAAATTGTTTGTTTTATACACCTCTAAGAGAATGAATCACATGTTTATGAGAAAATCTTTGATATCCTCTAATTTATTCATTTAGAAATAACAATGAAAAAGAATGTTTCAATTTTTGATATAATTAGATGAAACATAAACATATTATGCATCTTCTACAAAAAAAAATTTCTTCCATAAGTAAATTTTACTTGTTTATTGGCAAAATGTATTTCTTTCTTTATATACAAGCACAGTGTTTCTCTGGGTTCATGTACATATTGTATTTACTTTACTTAAGTGTAGCCATGTACATGTATATTGTAGATATAGTGTTGAATGTATTATTGTAAATAGTAGTTATGAGTAGTCTTAATATTTTCTCTTACAATTGTCGAGGTTTACACGATAGTATCAAGAGAAAAGATGTTTTAGATTTATTTCAGTCAAAAAAAGCTGATATTCTCTGCCTACAGGAAACACATTTTATAAAAGAAATTGAAAAGAAAATTTATTCTGAATGGAATGGTTTATGTTTTTACAGCCATGGTAGGTCTAATGCCAAAGGTGTGGCTATTTTATGCAGAAAAGGTTTAGATATAAAAATTAATTCTGTTAAAACTGATGATTCAGGAAATTTCATAATTTTACAAATAATGCTTGATTCTATAAATTTCACATTAGTTAATATTTATGCGCCAAACATAGACAGTCCTAGTTTCTTTAAAAACATTTTTGATACTTTAGATTCTTTTGATGATAATGACTCTCTAATTATTTGTGGAGATTACAACCTTGTTCAAAATCCTGACGTGGATTATTATAATTATAAATCAAAAAACAATAATGTAAAGGCAAGAAATTTTTTAATAAGTATTATTGAAGAAAAAGACCTTATTGATCCCTTTAGAGAACTGCATGGTAATATGAAAAAATAAACATGGAGACGAACCAACCCTATACAACAAGGTAGACTAGATTTTTTTCTTATATCAAATAGTTTATATCAGTATGTACGAAAATGTGATATTGACATTAGTTATAAATCTGATCATTCAATAATATATTTAGATTTTTGTTTTAGTTCTGTAAGTCATGGAAAAGGTTTATGGAAATTTAATAATGCTCTGTTATATGACATTGAATTCCTTGATATTATAAATAAAAAAATAGATGAAGTAAAATTACAATATTGTTTACCAGTATACAATATAGACTATGTTTTAGATCCAAAAAACAAAGATGTAAATTTTGTTATAAATGATGAACTTTTTTTAGAAACTCTTTTGATGGAAATAAGAGGTAAAACTATATCTTACAGCTCTTATAAGGTCAAAGAAAGAAATACTTATGAAAAAAAGTTAATTGAAGAAATTATTCTTATAGAGCAAAACCTGACAATTGAAAATAAAGACAAACTTTTACACTTACAGGATGAATTGACTGAATTAAGAAATAGAAAAATAAGAGGTGCTATGATAAGGTCAAGGTCACAATGGATTGAATCTGGAAAAAAGCCTACTAGTTATTTTTTAAACTTAGAAAAAACACATTGTTCAGATAAAGTTATTCCTTTTCTAGAACTTGATGATGGATCCTTTATATATGATCAAAAAGATATTCTTACAAAGACATGTAGTTATTATGAAAATTTATATAAAAATGTTGATATAACTGAAGAATCTAAGATTGATATGGAATTAGAAAATTGTAATGTTACCAAGTTGTCTCAAAATGAAGCATTGAATCTTGAAGGTCTACTTTCATATGATGAAGTTTCTTTTACATTAAAAAACATGAAAAATGATAAAAGCCCAGGTTGTGACGGATTTACAGCAAATTTTTTTAAAATATTTTGGAATAGAATTGGACATTTTGTTGTAAAAGCTATAAACTTTGCTTATACTGTTAATTCTTTTTCTAGAAATCAAAAGCTAGGAACAATAACATGCATTCCAAAAGAAAAAAACCAAAACAATTTTTAAAAAATTGGAGACCAATAACTTTATTAAATGTAGTTTATAAATTAGCTTCAGGTTCCATAGCAAATAGACTTAAACTTGTTTTAGATATTTTAGTTTCAAAGGATCAGACAGGATTTGTTAAAAATAGATATATTGGTGAGAACACTCGATTATTGTATGATATTATGAAATATACTGAGGATAATGATATACCAGGTTTAGTAATGATGATAGATTTTGAAAAAGCATTTGATACGTTATCATTTACATTTATAGAGAAATGTCTAGAACTTTTTTCAATTTGGTCCTATGTTTAAAAAATGGATATCTTTATTTTTATATAATACTGAAACTTGTGTTATTTTAAATGGATTTTTATCAAAGTTTTTCAAAGTTAAACGAGGTTGTAGACAAGGCGATCCTATTTCACCTTATATCTTCATTTTATGTGCAGAGATTTTAGCAATAAAAATAAGACAATGTAAAGATGTTAAAGGTATAAATATAGATGGGGAGGAATATAAAATTACACAATTTGCTGATGATACTTCACTTTTGCTAGATGGATCAGGAAATTCCCTTAATACTGTTTTAAAGTTATTAAACACGTTTTCAGAAATTTCAGGATTGAAAGTAAATTTTGATAAAACTAAAGTTATTTGGATAGGCTCTCTTAAATACAGTACAAGATCTATTAAGACAAAATGGAAACTGACATGGGGTGATACACAGTTTAAATTGTTAGGTTTGATATTTGATGTTGATTTAGAAAAAATGATAGAGTTAAATTTTAATGAAAAACTTCAAAAAGTTAAAAATAGTATAGGATACTGGAAAAAAAGAATGTTAACACCTGTAGGAAAAATTACTGTTGTTAAGTCATTACTCCTTCCTTTATTCACTCATTGCTTTACAAGTTTACCAACACCTAATTCAGCATTTTTGAAAACACTTAATGACTTATTTTATAAATTTATATGGGAAGGTAAAGCAAAGATAAAGCAATCAGTAGTTATTAAAACATATCAGGAAGGTGGTCTAAATATGATTGATATTGATAGTTATATACATTCTGTAAAGATAAAATGGTTTAAAAGGTATGTTAGTAATAGTAACAGTAAATGTTATAAGCTAGTGATGGCTTTATTCAATATTGATAAAGTGTTTAGCACAGGTAAATTGTTTTGTAAATTGACAATTGATAAAATTAAAAATGCTTTTTGGATAGATGTTTTAAAAGCTTATATGATTTTTACAGATAAACTTTGTAAAGACAGTTTAGAACAAGTGTTACAAATGCTATTGTTTTACAATCATAACTTGTTAGTAGGAAATAGATACTTTTATATCAAAATTTTTTATGAAAAAGGAATCAGATTTGTTAATGATATTATTAATCCCCAAGGCGATTTTGTAGATTTAACTTACTTAGAGCAGGTGACACAAAAACAAGTAAATTTTTTACAATATCATAGTTTGAAAAAAGCAATATTATTATATACACAAAAGCTTAACATTTCTATTTGTAAAGATTTTATTAATGTTCAATACCCTATTATGAGTTGTTATATTAAACCTATTTTAATTACACAAAATATCAAAAAGAAATATGTTCTAGTTAGAAATCAAGATGTACCAACATGTCAAGAAAAATGGAACTCATCAAGAAAAATGGAACTCATTTTTTACAAATTTTGATATAAATTGGAATTTAATATATAGTTATGTATTTAAATGTACCAAAGATTCCTATATTCAGTGGTTTCAGACAAGAATATTTCATAGAACTTTAGCAACAAACTCACTTTTATTCAAAATGAAAATTGTTAATAGTAAAATGTGTACTTTTTTCAATTGCCAATAGGAAACTCTGTTGCATTTATTTTGGGAATGTCCAAAAATTCAATTGTTATTTCAATATCTGAAAGACAAGATAGATAATTTTGATGATAATTTTAATTGTAAATCATTTATTTTAGGTTCTGAAGTTAATGATTTTAAATATGATATTTTGTTTTTAGAATTGAAAAGATATATTTATTTGTCAAAGAGAAAAATCGTGTTACCTACAATACCTGGTTTTAGAAATAGTCTTAAATTGGCGTGGAATATTTACAAAAATACAAATTTGACCAAACATGTAAATGAAGGATGGCAAATTGTAAGAACTTTAATAAACTAATAGGCTACACTAAATCAATTTACCCCAAACCAATATTCTTTGTTTATTTTGAAGCTGTTGCATAATACATTATCATACATAATTGTTATACATATTATATGAAAATTAATTGAATGTTTGAATATAATGTATATTATAATTATATAAAAAATGTTATTATAGATGATGATTTAAATATTATGTAGATATCATGTAAGGTATCAGAGGGATGACCCCGACCCTCTCATACCTATTACGGGGTAATTTCATCCAACACATAAACTCCCTTAAAGGGCCCCACAGATTACAGACGCAGCGATCAGCGATGTGGAGTGGTCATAACGAGGCATTAGCGATAACGGAGTGGACGGAAAATTCTTAGATTAAAATAATTAACTGCTACCATTAAATTTATATTAAATTAAACAAAGTTCTTCAATAATTTTGTTTTAAGTCAAGTTATTAAGTGTTAATCATTGGATATTAAACATGAGTGAACCTGATGAGGTATGTCATGATATTAATATATCTTATATATATATAAAAATATATATTTATTTATTTCTTTTATTTATTTGCTTTTATGTTTATAATTGTTAAAACTTATATTACTATGTAATATAAAAGGAACACTGCAAAATTCAAATGTGCAAATAATCATAGTATCATCTATGGATGTTCCTTAAAAATTTAACCACTACACGATGGATCTACATCGTTCTTTCATATTTAAGATAGATAAAATGTATATCACATTTTCTATTCTAATTTAGAAAAATGAAGTAAGACATCAAACATCTTTTAATGATGGATAAGCGTTTTATGCTAAAATTGAAATGGATACCACATTTCTTTATTTGTTATGTATTAAGTATGAGATATAACATACGTAATTGCTCATTTTTTCCTGAGCCTTCATCAACCCGAAAATTCCTAGCGGGCATTTTATCTTACAGACAAACTTGGCAGAGCGCCAGGGCGGAAATGACGAAATCATTGAAAATGCGCATGAGCATCATAACATATTTTCTCGGTTAGCCGCCATGGGGAACCAGACGATATCATCTAATGGAGGTGATCAGATTTCGGAGATCACGGAATCTATAAAGATAATGCACGAATCAATGGAATTTATGAAACACGAAATTGTTTCATTAAAAAACAAGAGGAAAACGGAAAATGGCGAAACTTCATCTAAACGCATAAAACTGATGGAGGCAGAAAATGGCGCATCCGGTTCCGAAGATTCGGACAGTGATGACGCAATAGCCTCATTTTTAGCTGACCAGAATGAGGCAACCCAAGGGAGCATCAACGAGAGCGAATGGGCTGAGATAACTGATTTTTTTGAAGAAAATCTTGAAACGGGAGAGGAAATTCTGCCAGATTTGGCAACATTGGCAAATTCGGTTTTAAGAGCGAAACCTAAGGATGACAAAGTCGCCAGCTTGAAAATAAAGCATAAAAGACCAAATAATGTGGAAAATCTACAAGTCACAAAGGTAGATGAACAATTATGGCGACAGTTAAGACGAGAAACCAAAACATTTGATTATGCAATGCAGAAAAACCAATTTACATTATGCCATGCACTTGTTCCCACACTAAAACTAATGCAAAATCTTAAAGAGAAAGGACCTGCATCAGAGGCACGAGATCTTGCAGCCGATACATTCAAAATATTAGCGTACGGAATTAATCAATCCAACGATGCGCGAAGGGAAAAAATCAAAAAAGATCTTCTGCCATCATACAAACCATTGTGTAATCAACCTTCATCAGCAACCAAACTTTTTGGGGACAAACTTCAAGAAGAAATAAAACATCTTAAAGAAACAAAAACTAATCTTACATCTACCAGGCAACCTTTTTTATCGAAAAAGGGAGGGGGGTTCAACAACTACAACCAACACCAGCGTATCCAAAGCACACCGGCCTTCCCTCCACGAAACAACAAACTAGCTTGGAATACAACACAGCATCGCCAACTAAATCAACCAAAGAAGGGGAAAATGGGGAGAAAATAATAAATGTAAGTACAAATATAAATATAAGTGTCCAAAACACAACAGAAAATTTTCATGCCGGTAAGACAGCTGATAATATTAGCATATGGAAAACCATTACAACTGACAAGTGGATTTTAAATAACATTAGAGGTTGTTCAGTTGAATTAAATGAAATTCCAAAGCAAAAAATTATTCCTAAACCAATTAATTTTACTAAAGAGGAAAAAAGAAAGATTGAGAACGAACTTAATAGATTTTTAAACATTGGAGTTATAGAGAAGGTGGAAGATAATTTAGATAATGAATTCATATCAAACATTTTTATAAGACCTAAAAAAGATGATCGTGTACGAATAATTTTGAACCTAAAACAGTTTAATGAGTTATATATAGAAAAACATCACTTTAAAATGGAATCCCTTAAATCTGCAATTAACGCTATGAGAAAAGATTATTTTATGGCCTCAGTTGACCTAGCAGATGCTTTCTACTCCATAACCATTAGAGAACAGGACCGGCGTTATTTCCGATTCTACTTCAATGATATAAAATATCAATTTACAGCATTAGTTATGGGGTATTCATCCAGCCCTCGAATTTTCACAAAGATACTGAAACCTGTGTTCGCTTATCTTAGGTCATTAGGTCATGTTAGTGTTTATTTCATTGATGATTCTTGGCTAGTAGGAGATTCTTATCAGTCATGTATGCGTAATGTGAACGAAACTGTGCACTTAATGGATAAACTCGGATTAACGGTAAATCAGAAAAAGTCGGTGCTAGAACCGTGTAAAAAGCTTATCTTTTTAGGCTTCATACTGTGTTCTGAATCCATGACAGTTAAACTAACATTTGAAAAGGGGGAAGATATAATTAACCTTTGTTCGAAAGTACTAAACACCAAACGAATCACTATTCGTGTCTTTGCTAAACTTATCGGGAAACTCACGGCGGCTGAGCCGGGAGTTAAACATGCACCACTATATATCCGACCGCTTGAAAAAATAAAAGAGAATGAATTAAAACTTCACAAGGGAAATTTCGACAATTTCATGAATGTACCGCAGTCAATACATACAACCTTACTTTGGTGGATAGAAAATATACAGATTAGTTTTAAAAATATTTTGTCGCAAGATCCGAACACTGTTATATACACTGACGCTTCATTAAAAATGTTCGGGGCATTCAATGAAACTAACGGTCAAAAAACAAATGGTTTCTGGTCGCATGAAGAACAAAAACTTCATATAAATATTTTAGAAATGAAAGCTTGTGAAATTGGCTTACGCACTTTTTGTAAATCTTCTAAAAATATTCTTGTGAAATTGTATACGGACAATACAACATGTTGTTCGTACATTAATAGATATGGAGGTAAGGTTCGAGCTCTCGACGATATTGCACGAAGAATATGGTTCTGGTGCGTTGAAAGAAATATTATGTTAACGGCAGCCCATATTGCTGGCGTATCGAACACACACGCTGACAAACTTAGTAGAACTGGAAATGATGATATTGAATGGTCTTTAGAACAAGGAATTTTTGATAAAATCTTAAAACATCACCAGAACATTTAAATTGATTTATTTGCATCAAGATTGAATGCAAAACTTAAAAAGTATGTTTCGCGATATCCCGATCCATCCGCTATTGCAGTAGATGCATTCACATTTAAGTGGTGTGATAATTTATTTTACATATTTCCACCTTTCAGCTTGATAGCACGCATCGTTCAAAAGATAGAAAGAGACCACGGAAAAGAAATTTTGATAGGACCAATCTGGCCTACCAAGACGTTGTGGCCAATTCTCATGAAATTGATAAAAGGTCCATGTTTGATTCTCCCAAAGTGGAAAAAAATTCTGAAACTAGAACACAAACCAAATCAAAAGCATCCTCTGAAAAAAGATGAGACTTGCTGTTTTCGATATATCAGGGCAGGTTTACGAAGGCAAGGTATACCGAGAGACGCTCGAGACATCACCATACAGTCCTAGAGAAAAAGCACAAGAAAACAGTACACTTAAAATGTTAAAAAATCGTTACATTTCTGTGGACGGGAAGCTAATCCCTTTAATTACAATATAACTGATATTATCAAATTTCTTGTTTATTTACACAAGCAAGGACTGAGTTACTCTGCAATAAACACAGCACGTTCATCTGTAAGTAATTTTGTGAGAATTACTGGTCAGTTAAACATACATGAAAACGAAATAATATCACGTGTTATGAAAGGGATTTTTAATGAGAAACCACCACGGCCACGATACAAAGTAACATGGGACGTAAAAATCGTTCTAAACTACTTAGAAAAGATGGATACTACATCCTTTCTATCATTATCATGTAAATTGTGCATGCTATTTTTACTTGTTACGGCTCAAAGATGCCAAACTTTGCATACTTTAAAATTATCTGACATTAAAAGAGTAGGTGAAATATTTTCATTCATATATCAACTCTTTTGAAACAGTCAAGACCAGGGTTTCAGTTTAGAACCGATAATTTTACAGCCGTATAAATTAAAAAAGAATCTATGTATTGTAACAACTTTAAATGAATATATCGCTAGAAGTGAACATTTAAGAATAGATGAGTCACTTATTATTTCCACAGTAAAACCACATAAACAGGTTTCCAAACAAACAATAGCACGATGGATTAAATTAACAATGATGAAAGCAGGCCTTGCTGACACATTCAAACCTCATAGTACAAGATCAGCATCGACGTCAAATGCTTTTTTATAAAGGAATCCAATTATCTGACATAATTAAAACTGCAGAATGGAGTACAGCAAAACAAAGACATTTACTAAATATTATCAAAGACAGATTCTTACCACTGAAACTCAAAATTTTGTTCTAGAATGAATCTCATTCATGTTTATCAGATATTAAGTACGGGCAATAGTAAATACATAATGATGTTTACACAATACAGTTATCGCCCAGTTATCTACACATGTATATTTCATTGCATGATTAGTTTACAATAACATGTACTAAGCAATACATATGGTTCTTGTTTTTATTGACGTACTGTTGTTTTTCTTTTACAATATTTTATCAGAAATCTCTCTGAACAATCTGTGGGGCCCTTTCAGGAAGTTTATGTGTTCGAAGACATTTAATGATTAGGCGAGATTAACATACGTAGAAGTCAGTTGAAGATTGATAATAGTTTCATTCTACACAAAACTCACAAAGGGCTCACACGCCCGCCCACTACCACCCAAAACGGATTTCTTTAAATATTGTCATCTTATACATAAGATATACACTTTAAAATATGACCACTCCACATCGCTGATCGCTGCGTCTGTAATCTGTGTGAGCCCTTAGGGAGTTTTGTGTCGGATGAAATTATGATCAATCTTCACCTTACTTCTACGAAGGTAAGTCTCGCTTAATCATTAAAATAAACGGGGTTACCCAGTTGGGGCTTTAATACATATACTTGTAAATACTGTAAAAAAAAAAAAAAACTCCCTAAATCGTAAAGTGAGAACAGCAGATATTTTCAACACTGGCGAAAAAGTAAGCTAAAGAGAACATAATTTAATGTATTGTCTTATGTATTACTTAAAATTGATAATGTGATCAATAAATATTTCGAATTACGTCCATGAAGCATTAATCATGATCATTAATCTGATGTCATTAGGTTTAAAAGTTTAGGATATTTTGAAGGTTTGCCACAAAAAATTTTCAACGAGAAACTATAATATAACAGGATGGCATTTATTTTGGTAATGACATTGTATTTCTTTGGTAACGTAGATTTCAGATCTAATGTAATATATTCGCTGCATATAAATAACAAATGTCTTTAAAATATGTCAAAATCTTAAAATTCTCTACCTATAGGAACTTTCTAACCAAGGAAAATTCAAGGAAGTTGTGTACCTGGCTAATTATCAGTTCCTCCAAAGAAACAACCAACTTGACTTGTAATATGGAACGCAGCTTCCCATACAAAACTAATTTGTTCTTTTATTATAATTTGACATATTCAGATTTCAATGAATTTCTGTGATTAAAATATGTTACTCGAGGATGAGCATAGCATACCTTTAATTCAAAGGATATATATCATATATTATATGTAAGATGTCGAATGCATACACAAATGCAACTTTTTTTCCAAAATATTCAACATTCCATTTTCATGTTTCTTTTTAAAATGCCGTTGAAAATGAATTAAACACAAAATGAAAATTAAAAATTGCCATTATGTATAAGCAGTATTTTAAAAGTATATTTCATTTCAGGCCACTTCTACAGGGGGATGTCCAAAAAAAAAATGTGTAAACCACGCCGTCTGGCTATGCCGTCAAGTGATATGATGTCAGAGTATCTCCTCAGAGTACCTTCAAAAGAAGAGAACACTATGAATGTGTCTCTGTCTGAAGAAGTTGTTACACCAACCACGCCCGTTGGAATGTCACCGGAGCCTCTGTCATCAACAACAGGTGCTTTCCCCTATGAAGAAGTTACGCCAACAACGCCCGTTGTGAATTCATCAGAGCCTACACCGTTGACACCACATCTCCGCCATGAAGAAGTTTCAATGCCTACAAGGTCTGTTTCATCAGAGCCGTCTTCACCATTGACGCCACGCGCTTTCCGTCAGAGTGGTATTAGCAGCCTCCAACAACTTCTATCTACCTTGAATGTACTTGTAAATCAAAACACACAACTTATTAAGGACAACAGGATGTTGCTTCAAAGTGTTGAGAGACAGTCCTTGCTATTAAGCAAATTAAGTGCGGATTTCCACCAACTGTCTAACATAGTGGACTCCATGTCAGTGAGGGTAAACGAAAGTCCAAAGGATGATTGTGCTCCATGCCATGCTTCAGCCCAAGAAGTTGAGGAAGTGATAACGTCTGACTATGCTTTAAGTGATAGTGAGGTACATAATATCAAAAGTGATAGTAACAATGCTGGACACTTTGCGTCCAATTTAGTTAAGAGGTTATTTCCAGAACTCTTTGGTATCGGAAATTACAAACACCAGTTCAATTGGTATGGGGGTGGTAAATTAGGCAAAAAAGAACTGTGCAGAGAAAGAAAGTCATTGGTTCGCCAATATGTGGTCAGGTACTTCCCTGAACATAAGCAAGAGGCATCCTTCAAGGACTGTATAGTACCAAAAGTAAACGAACTGCTACGAAGGAAAGAAAAAGGCAAAGAAAAGGAAAATGTGATGGGTCCACTTGATGAGAATGCCTCATTCTCATCATTCTTGACGTATTTAAACTGTTAAAAGAAACTTGAAAAAAACAGTCAAAACATGTTCAAAATGTTCTGAAACCATTGGATTACTACATGTACATATACAGTATATAATGTATTAAAAATTGAGAGATCGAACACTGTAAATAATTCAATCACTTTTTTGATAATAAATCTGACATTGTATATATTTCAATTACAAAATGTTTTCATTGTATGTTTATAATAAATGTTACACTGTATACTCAGTGACTTGTTTGAAAATGTCTTATGTTAATATTTATGTTTTAAGCAATAAAGTATAAAAACACTGATGTATTGATAGTTCCTGTAATAATGTTAATAAATGGTAATAAAGTAGTGAAAAAAAAAATGTTGTACGTTTTTAAGTGATACAAATCACTTAAGCCTCCTACCCATTATCTGAACTATCTACATACATGTACATGTATATACTGCATCAAATACAAAGTCTAAAATGTGAGACTGTTCAACATCGGCTAAAAACACGAGTATCTAGTAACAATTTTAAGGGTAGAAAAGGAATTAGTTAAGTAAAAAACGGGAACAAAACTAAAACTTTACCGGTCAAATGACGGTAAAAACATCCGTACATAAAATTAAGAAAAAAACATGCTCATAAAATTAACGGTCATAAAATAACAGTCATGCACACTTTAACACTTTAAGTAGAACAAAAAAGGCATGGGGTAAAAAAGCAACAAAACTAAACTAAATCAAGTATACCAACATGAAATCACCTGTACCTAAAAATAAGAAGAAAATGACATTAAAGTTCATGAATAAAATACGGATAAAAGTACGGATATTTGACAGGCCGGAATACCGGTGAGGTAACGGGAAATGACATGGCTCAAAAGGAGGTCAGTTAAATCGAAAGTAGAATGTAAACAAAATTTACTAAAAAAATCACAAGGAGAAGCATACTCATTTATTTTGATACTTTATTGAGTCAATAATTATTTTGTTCCAATGCACAAAAACATTTTGGAGAATCTGGGAAGACAATTACTGTGTCACTTTCAACTGCTATCGGCAAAATTCAGTCTCTGAGACGCCTCCGAGATTTAAGGAGGTTTACGGAGTTTCACCGAGATTTTCCTCTCAAGTTCCTCCGCGGAAACGCGAAAAAAGCACATTCCATGAACTGGAGCACATCTGAACGCCTGTATAACAGTAAATTTCCACAGCAGTTTCAGAGAAGAAGATGAATAATGACACATATGGATGCCGGAGCATCCCCCTTTGATACTAATAGCTCACCCTGAAACTTCAGTTCTGGTGAGCTAAAAACCTTTAATAATAATAATATA